ACGTCAGCTTGGTGGATTTCAAAATGTTGATTTTTTTTTTTTCAGTTCACTATAAATGAACATTGAGAAACCAAAATAATGATCTCTTACTGAGAATGGCAGTTTCATAATTGATAGTTGGAGATAAAGCTTTCTCCAAGATCACAACTAAGTACATGCATGTTTCTATCCAAGAAACGGTGTTATTACTGAGAAAATTAAATGTGGAGTGAGTCTCTCCCACAGGCGATTCTGGTTTACCATTTACAGGTTCATTATATCCAAGAGTGTTCATTCGTTTGTTCATTCTTTCTTTCTCTGTCCCTCTCCCATACTATCGCTTTCTCTTCACACCTTTCTTTCTCATTTTAACAACAGTATATTTGACCATGTCATAGTTTTTACTATATCATTTCATTTGGTATATCTTCCAAAGGATACCAATTAGAGAATTTACTTCAGCTTTCATGAAGACTTTTTTTTAAAATGTCAATTATATCAGCAACAATTTTCTGAAATGTGTCTTGGGATAGTTTACTTTCAGTGGCTAGAAAAGTAAGTCATATTTATGTTGATTTTTCTAGATTCAGTTTCAAAATATAACATTTTCCTCAAAATTATTTGTAACTTGTAGCTCCTTGTATATATTTTAATTATTAAGTTGTGCTTATAAGATACTTAAAAAGACAATATGCTATATTACTAAATTATTAATAAATAATACATACTGAAAGATAAAAGAGAAAAATCACAATGGTCTGAAGTATTTAAAGAAGCATTGAGGGAGACGATGGGGTTTGAACCAGTCTATAAATATAGTATTTTATAAAGCATATGATTTAAACAATTTGAATTAATATAGCGGTTAGTACTATGGATGTGGCGATGTGGATTAATGTGCCAGACTGCAAAGCCATTTGAACTGCAGTGCCGGCAGTTCAAGCTTATCAGCTGCTCCTTGGAAACCCTATACAAGGTCGCTATGGGTTGGAACCAACTCGACGGCACTTAACAACAACAACTGCAAGTACTATGGGTGGGAAGTCCTGGTGTGGCACTGTAGTATGAGCTCTGACCTTGAGGTCATTTTAAACAGCACAGTTGGCGGTTCAAACTCACCAGCTGCTCCTTCGAAATCCTGTACACTGTCATTATGAGTTGGAATCAACTCGATGGCTCTTAACAACAACTATGGGTGATACAGATGATTAACCTTTGACAACACCAGCCAAGAGACTGGTGGTTTAGACCAACTCAGATGTGCCTCTGAAGATTTGGAATGGCGATCTGAAAAGTCACAGCCTTGAAAATCATATGGTGCACACTTTACTCTGACACATATGGGATTGCCATGAGTCAGAATCCACTCGACTCTAACGTGTTGTTCAGTGCCATCAAATTGGTTCTGACTCATAGCGACTCTTTATGGTTTCCGAGGAGCGGCCGGTGAGTTTGAACCGCAGACCTTGCAGTTCAAATGGGCCTTGAAGTCTATTGCTTATTCTTGGATGCCACACCAGGACGAACAATTGTTGTTGTTAAATGCCATTGAGTCAGTTCCAACCCATTGTGACCCTGCATAGGGTTTCCAAGGAGTGACTGCTGACCAAGTGGTTCAAACCACCTTTGTTACAATAACAACTACTATGGGTGACGCAGACATGGCCTGGTAGTCAAAGGACTTCTTTTTGAAAGAGATTTTAGATAAAAAGCAAAAATGATATGAATACACTTCTTATAGAACCTTTCCTTTTAAATAATAAGGGTTTTGTTTCTCTCATAGACAAGTTTTTCTTTTCAAAAGTGTTGTGTATTTGTTGTTTCAAGGAGGCAGTTTCTTATATCTATAGTTTAAATTTTAATGACCTTAAATTTTTCTTCGAGTTATGTTTTTCCATCTGGATTAAAATAATATATGGAATTAACATTCAAAGAACAGGAGAGCTTGTTTGTCTTAATTTTTTTTTTTTAAGTTGAGACTGGATAAAATCAAAACCTATTATTCCATTTGAGTTCTAATTGCATAAAAATAGTATGCTGTCTGAGACTATTAAAGGAAGTGGTCTGGCAGAATCCTAGATACAGAAAGTATGTCATAAGCAATTATAAGTACTTTCCAATGGGTGTCTGAAAATTAAGGTACAGAAATCGCATTGTTATGAAAGTTAATTTTTAATTTTGTACTATCCCAAATATGTTGTTGCTAAGTGCCGTCGAGTCGTTTCTGACTCATAGCAACCCTGTATTGAGTTTCCAAGTAGCAACTGAGGGGTTTGAACCACAGGCCTTGCGGTTTGCAGTCTAGTATGTGTCCTACAATGCCAGCTTTTTCTTTAAAATGTTAAGCTATATGTTTGCATTTCTAG